ACTAATTATAGATTTTTAAACCCTATATCTTAAAATGCTAAACACTAAAAAATATTTTGACCCCTAAACCCTCATAACTAAACTCTAATAGAACATAATTAACCCAAATATAAATAATATAAGAAAAAAATAATTTTGAAAAAGTGGCATTTTTGTAAAAATTTCAAAAATGTGGCATTTTTATAAAGTGACATTTGAAACGTCGCATTTTTAAAAATTTCTGTTTTCTATTTTGGGTATTAGTTTGAATGTTTTGCCTTTGCGGCTTTCAAAGCTCAGCCAGATATTCTAAGCTACTTTTTTATGCGGTTCAATGCATAATACTGATGTCTCGTGTGATTGGTCGCCGACAAATCTACTTTCATCAACTTACATTATACAAGTACGATGGACTTCAGAACAAACAAAGAATACTAGTAGTATGTAATAAAAACCAAAATTATATTAAAAAAAAAAAGAAATTAAGGTGTCATGTCTTTTTCCGTAATAATTCTGAATCACGTCATTTCTCATATTGTATACCAAAATTTTATAGGCAATACGTTAACAAAAGAAGAAGAAGAGACTATATATACAAAAATTAGAAAATGTTAACTATGGGAAATGGACCACGTTAGTTGGCACCAATAAACCTCAAAATCAAAAGTGTAGATTCGTTGGTGATGATGGATGTAGACTGGAGAATATGTAGACAAAAATAGTCGAGTTGGCTTTTATCGTGAAATATCAAACACAGTCTAATTCAGGTCTAGATCCCACAAACAAACAAAAACCATATATATGTTGCTTTAAATTCAGAATTTCAAAAATTCTCCCAAAGATTATACCAAACTTTGCGATTGATAATACTCTAAAATAGTTTTTTGCGTGTACTAGTTGCAAATGATGTTTGATATACATTTCAACAATGTATCTTGTCTAGTATAAACATAGATTTCACACATATTAACACATATAATAGCAAAAGAAACATGAACCAATGAAGTTGCTTTCAAATTCCTCCATTTTAAGGATTGTTGATTAACACCAATTCCATGTACGATTCAACATTTACAAGTAAAACTACACAGGCATTTTATACGAAGTAGAAGAAATGTTGTTTTATATTGAGGCGATAGTTACTTACACACTCAGATCAAATGCGGTAATGGCGCATGAAGAGTGAACCTTAAGTCTTTTCTTTTTAACTCTGGTCCCTGTAAGGTGTCCAAATCAGTTTGCAAACATCTACATCAAGACCACCTCGGCCTGCAGCTTTCAGATGTCGATCAAGAACCTTTGGATCCGCACAGATCACGTGTTGTCCTTTCCTGTACTGTATCAGTTCTAGGCTCTGAAGCGTGCTTAATATATCTTCCGCCTTGATTGCTGTCATGTCGCTTAGCTCCTACATCATCATACAACAAAGATCGATTGGTGAATTCTTAGATCGCAGAAACCAGGACTAGCATAAGGTTTTTTCGGTATATTGAAACACAATCTAACCTTGATAGAAATGTTTCCTTTATGTTTTTTCAATATGTCTAATAGAACACGAGTCCAATAACCTCTGTAGCTTAGTAAGCCTAGATCCGACAAGGGTCTTTCCGGTGTCCCAACTTTTCCCTCTTTCTTTGAAAGTTCATAGGCTGCAACTCACAAGGACATCCTGTTATTATTTTTATCGACATGGGATTGAGAAGAGCAAAAGAGTGAAAATGAAACTAATTGACAACGAACTCACAAAAAGCTATTAAGAATTTTCCGTAGCCTTTTCTTT